TAGACTCTCTTGGCGCATGAACTACAAAACATTGCAGAAAAACAGACCACGATTAATGGCAAAGGGAATTTTTAAGTTCTCAAGTATTATATTCTCGCTTTTATCGTCAAGTTGTCTTCCTCTCCTCATCGCCTATTCATTCATAATGTTATTTATATCAAATGGCAGGCGTTTTGATAGTTATCAATAGCCCTTTAGTTGACTTCAAGCTTCACAGAGGGAAAGAAACATCAAAGTGAAAAAAGTCGAGAGGAGGGGGGGGGGGAAACAAAGAGTGTTTCAGAGACAGATACAAAGGTAGAAAAAAGGTGAGGTGAGTACTATGGAAGGAGTCGGATATGGCATACAGTGGGGGGGTGGTAGTTTGAAGTCAGAAGTCAACTGCCGTTTAATAGACTTTTTGACGTATTAATATACGTTGCCCAGGGTGCACCACGTGGAGGTAAGTCTATCGCACACCCCTTCATTCATAATTTTGTTACTTAAATTAAATCATGTATAACTCGGGAAGACACCCGGATATCGTTAGCTTAATGACAATTTAAGGTTCAATGAGATGATTTTTGTAACATTTAGGTTAAACTCGTATGAAGCCTTATTAACTAGATTTCAATTGCTTTAAATTGTTCTCTATTACCACTTTATAATAAGCTAAAGGTAGGCAAATGCCTTCGGCAACTTAAGACTCCCGAAATTCCTGTTGGAAGTTGATGATACCATTCACCTTCCACGATAAGGAATCGCGGTTTCGTTCGGCGTGCAAATACAGCTTCAGGAGGGATATTGGCGCTGTTTATAAGGACAAGTATCCAAATTTGGTCAGTTCTTCAAACAAGCTTTAAATATTGCGCTTTAAATTACAACCAGTTTTGATAGAAGCCTTCAAATTGAGCCATATTACTATGAATCGACAAAATATGCCTCAGGATTTTATCTGTAAGGCGATTTAAAGTATCACACATACACACACACAACCATTAACTCTCTTATATCTGTTGTGGTCTTGAAAGTGGTTCACAGAATTCAACCGCCATGCAAAGTTTACCTTTTATTTTGTTTCCTCTCTCGTGTCGGGTTAAGGACTATTGGCCAACCAGGTGACCAATCAACCCACCACGCCAAAACTACAGATGACGGTTGTGATATGTCAATAACAAAGTTACGTTATAAGTATTCAGTCACTAAGAGAAGATTGATGTGTCAAGGTCATCATTCATCCAACAGCTTTGGCTTCTTTAAACTGAGGAGAATTCGAGTACTTCTACTCGATTGTTAGCTGTTTCTTATTTACGCAACTTCAAAACACACACACACGTATATATATATATATATATATATATATATATATATATATATATATATATATATAACAGGTATATCAACCAGATATGAAACTAAACAAGCAATAAAATTATCCGATAAACCAAGTTTAAATGACAAAGGTTAAACGTTTTGGCAACTCCTCCCTTAGTGAGAATGCCGACAGCGAAATTCAATTATAAAAGAATTCGTGCTATCCGGACTTCCTTCCCTATTAGAGACTATCTCCGCCCCTCCAACTTGATAAATTAAGACTGTGCCTTGGACAATGTCATTAGCAATTTAATGGCACATGCAATGTAGTTTCACCGCATTATATATTTACGCGCATGAAGAAGAATTAATTTAGCTATTTCAATATAATAGTTGTTTATAAGCATCTGAACTACATATAGTCTAATCAGAGAAGTATCTGTTCTTCAAGAGCGGACTTGAAATAATCGAAAAAGAGATAGGATGAATTGCTCCCTTGAAATTGGAATAAGTTTCTCTCCACTTTCATCTTCAAGAACACACGCTGCTGCAATTCCAAAAAAGGCTTTTATGAAAGCCCCCACTTTAACTTTAAAATTAACACCGCAAATGACATGATTGTAAGTGCGGGCTCAAATATCAGCACCATTAAATACGACTAAACACATCCTGAAGTTTGGGCACTTAAAACTGCTCTCAATCATTGGGCTTGAGGAAAGCAATCACTTTCGTCGCAGAACTGTCATTGCCCCTTTCTTCTTAACTTCTTCTTACTTGCAAAAGCAGGGTTTGCATTAAGTCATCAGTCTTGTGTGTTTGTCTAAAATGGGGTTGCATGAGTGTTCATATCAATTTTCTTCAAGTCAAAATTAGCTGAATATTCTTAGACAATGAACTATATCAGATAATTTTGATCCAACTTTAATATGGCTCACACGATGCAAAAAAAAACATTTTATTGCATCAGGCATAGAAGTCCTTTCGGTATTTTGGGGTTCAACATATTCTCCGAATGTTAAGAAATTCATTTTTCAAAATGCTCTTCCACCTTTCACCCAAATTCCTCTCTGACCTGCATTTCTCTTAACTTTTTACGCAGAAAAAAAGTTGTTTTTTCTGGCCTCCCTATTCCTTTAGGTCATGTTTCACTACCCCTATAAGGTCTCCAAATGAATGCTTTGGTATTTGTATGTCCCGAAGGTGGTAACTCCAACCAACTGAAATCTACAATTGTATATAGCATGGAAAGACTTGATCTAGACTTTCGAAGTTCCGAAACATTAAAATTGCGAATCCATCGATCATGATAGGCTTCAATAAGAAATCGCCAATCAATCGACTTTCTCATTACCAGATCCCAAATGAATTATTTGATGCTTCAATAAAGACCGTGAAATGTGGATCAATTTGGCGGTCTATTTGAAATCAAAAAAGTTTGCTTGTTTCAGTCTAAATTGGTTTTTATTTGTGTGTTTTAACCATAAGAGAATTCTCTCGATCATTGTCCCCTATTAAATCCGTACAATCTGTTAATGCATCAGAAAAATCATTTCACAGGAGTAATAGTCACTAACACAAATATAAATGTAAAGTGGGCCATCAAATTCCCATGAAGATTCAGCCAACAAAATTTTCCTTCACTTACTCTTAGAGGCAGCATAAGAAACATGCATGCATGGGCAAATTTTATTCGGCCGAAATTAACCTCCATTAAAGTCACGACAATGCAACAAACTAATCAATATTTGTGAACTTCATGCATTAAGAACGCAGAACACCACTCAGTCCAGTTCTAATGAACAGAAGAACAAGCAACAAGAACGAATAATGAGTGATAATCACATCTAGAAATATTAAAAATGTGTGAATTATCTGCTAAAGGATAGGGAAAATTGGCCCAAAATGAATGATACTTTATTTCATTTGAAATGAAAACAGAGGCACACACACACACACACACACACATAGCTACGATGACAACAGGCAAGGAATTATGTAATTTAAAGCAAAAAAAGACAATGCTGAGAGTTGGGGGGGGGGGGGGGGG